CTCAGTTTTCTTGAGTTAAGGGATAAATATCAATAAAATCTCATCTTACCAGATCGCACCAGCATTGTCCTACATGTTGGAATTCTCCTGTATTTTTGGCTTTTAAAATCACAAACTTTTCTTCGGTTGCCGTACTTTTCTTTTTAGTTTATATGCCTCTTACCACACTACTGGTATGATCTCTTTCCCTGCAGTCTGGTCACTGCTATGGTCGCTTTCAGTGGGGAAGGCTGGAAGGTTAGGATCCAGAGGAAACATAACAAATAAGGGAGAAAAAAGCCCTTCATTTGGCCAAATCTGGCTTCTAATATATTTAACTACTTCCAGAATTAGAAAGCCTTTCTGTACATTTTCTTCTATTTTTCTCTCTTTTTTTCCTTACGTAATGAAATTAAAACTTTTGGAGCCCACAGTTGACATTTTTCAGAAAATTGAGTTATCAAGGCAGTAATTATTTCACGGGGAGATAAAACTCTCATAGCCCTAACTGTCAAATAGGGCCCTTTTCAGATTTTAATTACAAAATAAAATTAGTCTGCTCTTCCTCGGAATGGTTTGTGAGTGGTTAAACAGAGCTTCCCCCCAATACTGGTGGTCGTCAAACTCTGCTAATTAGCAATGCTGAGAAATTCCAGTTAACAAGGACATTCTCCAAGACTCTGCAGGTTCCCTGCCGTTTGCCTTCATTTCCATAAGAAGATTAAGAGAGGAGGGGAACACACTCAAATGCAGATGCAGAAAAGAAGCGTTTTTTAACAAGCATCATAATAGTAAGATGCTTGGCTAGTTCTCACCTAATTACTGCAAGTTAAACCTCTATTTGCCACTAAGAAGAAAAAATAAGTCTACAGTCCCCTATCTCCACAAAATTGTTAGTTGGCTTCAGATATAATACTTGAGGAGGGATGAGGGGGAGTTTACGAGAGAAATATCAGTGCAAAAGATAAAACTGAGCTACACTTAATCAGTTAAGGGTTTGGGGCTGGGGCCTATAGTAAAACAAAATTAAATCAGAATATCCTAGGAGTTATGCATTTTATTCTTAATTTCTAATCTCGCTCTAAAAGTAGACAGCTTTTTGCTGCCCATGAAAGGGAAATATTATACTTCCTTTAGATTAAGCGCTTTAAATCTTCATAAATTGTGCCAATGGCAACATTTTTAAATTCTTGAGGGATGAAGCACCCTCTTCCAAGTCTTATTTTGATACCCTAGTAGTCAATGGTGTATTGTTATTAGTACTGTAGCCATCTGTTATAAGCCTAAAACAGTGCTGTTTCTACCATCTATTGTGATTATTATAGTTATTATTATATTTAGGGGCCAGTGATGGTGCTGAATTGAAATAGAGTGGCCGGTGATCTGATTTTTTTTAATGCATATGTTCTAAAAAATCTAATGAGAAAATTGTTTCTGCTATCACCATCTTCTTTAATCTTATTTTCATAGCACATTATTATGCATAAATGCCAGCCACAGTTAGTTTATTGCCTTGATAAGTACAGCAGGCTTAATTAAAATAAAGCTGTAAATAAATGCAACCAATGATAACACAATTGTAATGTATTTCCATAGCTTATTTATATGATAAAAGCAATTAACAAAAGACCTAGCCAGCCCCTTTAACCTCTTAAATGCATTATTACAGAGTTCAGGCACAAACATATGCATCTGAGAATGTATAAAAGCTTTTATATATCATCCCAAGGAGATATTTGTGCCTCTTACTACTACCCCTTGAGAGAGAAGGAGATTAAAAACATTTACTTCTGTAACTGTCCATTATTAATATTCATTTTATACATATACACCACCATTATCCACACCAATCCCTTGTTTGTTTGTTTGTTTGTTTGTTTTTCTTTTCCTCCAAACTTAATTATCCATAAGCTTTTTTAAAGTTTTCAGAATAATGCTACTAAGCGCAGACCAATGCATACACAATCACAAAGTGAATGCTTGGTCTGACCTTCGTAGCATCTGGACAATCATAATTCATTCATATGTTGAATCTCATAATTTGTACCTATTTTTTCCCATGGTTTAACCTCCTACTTATCCGGAGGATGTATGTACATTTCTAAGTTAAGCAAATTAAATCTGATTCTTATGATTTGGTTCCATAGCTTATATGATATGTTAACTTTTCTTTTGTTTAGATTATGTGTAATTAGCGGATCTTCTTCCCTTTCCCCTCATTTTTTTTTCTTTAATTATTTCCAAACACCTTCTTTTAAAGGTAAAAGCAAAACTGTAGTCTTGGAAAAGCAAATTCACCAGTAGGGGGCGAACCAGCTACATCCCTGAAACCAGACTCACTGAAAAGCCTAGTGGCTGCGGTGTTGTCTTCTGAGCCTCTAACCTTTTCTCTTCCTAATCTCCATGTGCGTGTTTAGCTTAATATTACACCTCGAATACACAGAAGACATTACTTTGTTTTAAAGAGTGCCATATATTTATCCGTTTCGAGAAGGCCAGTCTCACCCTTCCTGGGTTCCCAAGAACTAAAACAAACCATAACTTAGGAGAAAAAGAAGAAACTGTTGGGGGAGGGGAGGTTGATTGGAAATAATGATTTATAAAGAAAAGTCTACAGGATTCTTTTTCTCAACTTTTCTGGCTTTCCAGTGAGCATGCCCATTTCGAGTTTGACACGGACAGAAAAGTCCCGGAGGGCAGGGATTGGAGAAATTGGAGTGGGGCTAGTGGATGGTTATGGGAAGAAGGTTAGTGAGGGACAAAACAATGCAAAGTTTTGTAAAGATAATAAATGGAACGTGGCCGACAGATACTATTCAGTACATTTTCTTAGGGTGAGTAAGGGTATATAGATCAGGGAAGGAGGGGGGCGGAGAGAGTGTTACAGAAGAAAGAAAATAAGTAACCCTCACGGTTTAAGCCCTTTATAAAAAAGAAATGGCATCAGGTTTTTTTTTTTTTACCCAACCCCCCCCCCCCCTTTGTAGTCAAGTGCATTTTAGCCACAAAGATCCCAACAAGAGAGTGGAAGGAAACTTAGACGGGGCTTTGTTTGACTCCGTGTAGCGACAACAAGAGAAACAAAACTACCTATTTGTAACGGACGTGCTGCCATTGCTCTCCGCATTGAGCGCCTACCTATTGAAATCTTTAAGTCGGGACAATGGGAGAGCGGCTAAAATTACCCTCTTGGGTCCTGGGCGGGCAGGATTCCTGAGCCCCCTACCCCCGCCTCCACGCAGCCTCCTCCAGCCCCGGCCGCGCCGGGGTCCCCCCTGTCCCCAGGCCTGGCGGCCTGCCTCCTGCCTGCACGGCCTGCACCTGTGCGCGGAGAGCACCACACCCGCCTCCCAGGCCCGGAGCCCCCTCCTGACGGCGGCCCAGACCCGGCGGCCCGGGCAGAGAGGCCACCACAGTATCAGTCACCAGGGGGAACGGCAAGGCTGGCGCTGCCCGGGGCCTGGGAACTCTGCGTGGGAGGGAGCGCGCGCGCGGGGCCCCAGGGCCGCCTCCGTACTCCGCCGAGGGACGCCCGGACGTTGACGCGACGCCGCTCCACAGTCTGCACTTCTGAAGGCCCCTCTGCTGCTCTCTCTCGTACCCCCAGCCTCCTTCCGAAACGCGCCCAATGGAATCCGACTGTAGGGGAGGCTCCAGAGGAGACTGGGGGGAGAGGACGAGAGTGGGGCATCCCCTTTGCATGGACTGCATGGGGAAAGGCGCTGGGCGATGAGGCTGGGGGTCAGGGGCCAAGCCTCAGTGTCCTGGCCGGAGTCGAGCTGGGCAGGGGAGAGCGCGCCGCCACCGCTTCACCAGGCCCGGCCTCCCCTCAAGTGCAGAGCCGGCCGCAGAGCCCTAAACAGGACTTGGGCTTAAAACAGAGCAACGTGCGCGGCAGCTAGGAGGCATTGGAGCACAGGCCTTCCCGCCTCCTAACTTCTGGCCGGGGCAGTGTGAGAACGGGGCGCACTAGTGCGGGCACCTGTGGAGGAAGAGGGGCGAGGGGAAGAGCGATGCTGGGCAGAAGCACCCGGGAGGCTGGAGCTGGGAGGCGGCGGGGGGGGGGGGTGAGGGGACGGGGGGGGGGAGCATGCGGAGGAGCCGGACAACAATGCCACACCAACTCCTGCGCCGCCTGTTTCCTGAAATACTAGTAGGACAGTCGCCCTGAGCCACCCCCTCGGCCCTGCCCCACCCCCACACCTCAGCGGCTCCTCGCACCCCTTCCTCACTGCAGCGGCCCGCAGCAAAAAGTAAATCAATATTAAGTTTGAAGAAGAAGAAGAAGAAGAAAAAAAAATCGTCGTCTTAGTGCTGTTTACCCACTTCCTTCGAAAAGGCGTGCGGTGTGACCTGTTGCTGCGAGAGGGGATACAAAGGTTTCTCAGTGGCTGGCAGGCTGGCTGTGGGAGCCGCCTCCCCCTCCCTCTTCCCCCTCCTCCCCCTGCCTCCCCCGCGCGGCCTGTGGCGCGGCAGGCCCCGCCCCCTTTCATGCAAAACCCGGCGGTGAGGCTGGGCTCGAGTGGAGGAGCCGCCGCGCGCTGATTGGTCGCTGGAAACCCATTTATTCCCTGACAGCCCCCGTCACATGGATGGTTGTCTATTAACTTGTTCAAAAAAGTATCAGGAGTTGTCAAGGCAGAGAAGAGAGTGTTTGCAAAAGGGGGAAAGTAGTTTGCTGCCTCTTTAAGACTAGGACTGAGAGAAAGAAGAGGAGAGAGAAAGAAAGGGAGAGAAGTTTGAGCCCCAGGCTTAAGCCTTTCCAAAAAATAATAATAACAATCATCGGCGGCGGCAAGATCGGCCAGAAGAGGAGGGAAGCGCTTTTTTTGATCCTGATTCCAGTTTGCTTCTCTCTCTCTCTTTTCTTCCCCCAAATTATTCTTCGCCTGATTTTTCTCGCGGAGCCCTGCGCTCCCGACGACCCCGCCCGCCTCCCCTCCTCCTCTCCCCCCCGCCCGCGGGCCCCCCAAAGTCCCGGCCGGGCCGAGGGTCGGCGGCCGCCGGCGGGCCGGGCCCGCGCACAGCGCCCGCATGTACAACATGATGGAGACGGAGCTGAAGCCGCCGGGCCCGCAGCAAACTTCGGGGGGCGGCGGCGGCGGCGGCGGCGGCGGCGGCAACTCCACCGCGGCTGCGGCGGGCGGCAACCAGAAGAACAGCCCGGACCGCGTCAAGCGGCCCATGAACGCCTTCATGGTGTGGTCCCGCGGGCAGCGGCGCAAGATGGCCCAGGAGAACCCCAAGATGCACAACTCGGAGATCAGCAAGCGCCTGGGCGCTGAGTGGAAACTTTTGTCGGAGACGGAGAAGCGGCCGTTCATCGACGAGGCCAAGCGGCTGCGAGCACTGCACATGAAGGAGCACCCGGATTATAAATACCGGCCCCGGCGGAAAACCAAGACGCTCATGAAGAAGGATAAGTACACACTGCCCGGAGGGCTGCTGGCTCCGGGCGGCAACAGCATGGCGAGCGGGGTCGGGGTGGGCGCCGGCCTGGGCGCGGGCGTGAACCAGCGCATGGACAGCTACGCGCACATGAACGGCTGGAGCAACGGCAGCTACAGCATGATGCAGGACCAGCTGGGCTACCCGCAGCACCCGGGCCTCAACGCGCACGGCGCGGCGCAGATGCAGCCCATGCACCGCTACGACGTGAGCGCCCTGCAGTACAACTCCATGACCAGCTCGCAGACCTACATGAACGGCTCGCCCACCTACAGCATGTCGTACTCGCAGCAGGGCACCCCTGGCATGGCGCTCGGCTCCATGGGCTCGGTGGTCAAGTCCGAGGCCAGTTCCAGCCCCCCCGTGGTTACCTCTTCCTCCCATTCCAGGGCGCCCTGCCAGGCCGGGGACCTCCGGGACATGATCAGCATGTACCTCCCCGGCGCCGAGGTGCCGGAGCCCGCCGCCCCCAGCAGACTTCACATGTCCCAGCACTACCAGAGCGGCCCGGTGCCCGGCACGGCCATTAACGGCACACTGCCCCTCTCGCACATGTGAGGGCCGGACGGTGAACTAGAGGGGGGGAGGAATTTTCAAAGAAGAACGAGGGGAAATGGGAGGAGAGTAAGAAACAGCATGGAGAAAAAAACCTGGTACGCTCAAAAAAAAAAAAAAAAATAGTCATCACCCGCAGCAAATGACAGCTGCAAAAGACAACACCAATCCCATCCACACTCACGCAAAAACCGCGATGCCGACGAGAAAACTTTTATGAGAGATCCTGGACTTCTTTTGGGGGGGACTATTTTTGTACAGAGGAAACCCAGGGGGGGTGGGGTGGGGAGGGCGAGGGAATGGACCTTGTATAGATCTGGAGGAAAGAAAACTACGCAAAACTTTTTAAAAGTTCTAGTGATACGGTAGGAGCTTTGCAGAAAGTTTGCAAAAGTCTTTACCAATAATATTTAGAGCTAGTCTCCAAGCGACGAAAAAAATGTTTTAATATTTGCAAGCAACTTTTGTACAGTATTTATCGAGGTAAACATGGCAATCAAAATGTCCATTGTTTATAAGCTGAGAATTTGCCAATATTTTTCGAGGAGAGGCTTCTTGCTGAATTTTGATTCTGCAGCTGAAATTTAGGACAGTTGCAAACGTGGAAAGAAGAAAATTATTCAGATTTGGACATTTTAATTGTTTAAAAATTGTACAAAAGGAAAAAATTAGAATAAGTACTGGCAAAACCATCTCCGTGGTCTTCTTTAAAGGGGCAAAAGTTTTAGATTGTACTAAATTTTTTTTAACTTACTGTTAAAGCAAAAATGGCCATACAGGTTGACATCGTTGGTAATTTATAATAGCTTTTGTTTCCCAACTTTCCATTTTGTTCAGATAAAAACAACAACAACAACATGAAATTACTGTGTTTGAAATATTTTCTTATGGTTTGTAATATTTCTGTAAATTTATTGTGATATTTTAAGGTTTTTCCCCCCCTTTATTTTCCGTAGTTGTATTTTAAAGATTCGGCTCTGTATTATTTGGATCAGTCTGCCGAGAATCCATGTATATATTTGAACTAATACCATCCTTATAACAGGTACATTTTCAACTTAAGTTTTTACTCCATTATGCACAGTTTGAGATAAATAAATTTTTGAAATATGGACACTGAAATTACGCTTGAGTCTTTCATTTATTTGGATAACACTGATTATACATAACTCCTCGGGGTATATACTGTGCTCAGCCAAGAAAGCAAAATACTTAAAACCTTGATATTCTAGTCCAGTAGCATGTGTAATGGTAACTGCAACAAGTAAATGTCTGAATGATTAACTGAATAAGTACTTTCAAAAAATTGAAATGCTTGTGTCATTTCTAAAATAGAAACTAGAGACCTATATTGTGAATCCACCCCCTCCTTTTCTAAGCAGCATGAACAAGCATGATGGGGACTTATACTTAAAACTGATTTATGCCACTTGTTGCCAGAAATAAGGAGTCAATTCTGAAATTTTTCATGTGGCTCAGCAGACGGGATAGTGAGCCAAATCAGAACCAGGTTGGCTGGTTTTGTTTTCGTTTTCTTCAGTGCACAATGGCCCTTTGGAAACCTGGTTATAGGGGGAAATGATGCTTCTTGTATCGGAATAATTGCAAACTAGACATGCAAAGTGCTCATCTGCTGGGTGGGTGTTTGGATTACTTCAGCCCTGCTATTGTTTGAGAGGAAAACAAGTGGTTTGCTTTCTTTGTTCCTTGACTTTATAAACTTTCTCCTCTACATTCTCCTGTTTAGGGAGAAGGAAAGCAAAGAGCATCTTACAAACCGCCCCCCCCCGACTTATCACGGCTATTTATTAACTATTATTATTATTATTATTTATTTTCTTTTTTCCTCTCTCTCCCTCCACGAATTCCATTTGTTAAATTGGCAGCGCGGGTCCAAGCCTGTAGTCCAAAATCGGATATCTCTGCAGCTGATAACAAGCAAATGAGAAGCCAGGCAACAGCCATATTAAAGAAGAAAACAGTCAACTCTGAGGTAGATATTTTACTTTGTCCGGGCTAATCACATTTGGAGATGATTATGCTTTTGATCTGTTAACCATGTTTTACTACAGTAGTAGAGAAGTAGGGGGAGGGGAAAGGGGTGGGGAAACAAGATTGGATTTGTTGTTTTCTTTTGCCCTAGGAAAGGTAAAGAAAGACTCTAGTTGTCCACAGTGGGAGCGGAAAAGTTGGGGGATCGCCACGGTCTTTGAATTAGCGATGTTTCTACATCACAACCGACCCGCGCTTTGGCGCAGCCTGAGAATCTGTAAGACTGACTCAGGGACTTTTCTTCCCTATTTACTGCTTACCTCGCTCATCTTCCCCCACCAAAGGGGACCAGGAACCACGAGTCAGGCATACTTAAGAGCGGGGGTTTGCTACCCATATTTCAAGGGCTTGTTGTGTCAACTTGCTACAACTTTGGAGAAGTTGGAATCCGGCAGCGCCTTCCACCCTTGAATCAAATACCGGCTGCAGCCCCTAAGTTAGCTCTACCCGTTCGTTTGCACTTTCGCGTTTTCCAAGAAAAGTATTTCTTTCTCGTGGTGTTGCTGATGTTAGTTCTGGTTTCAGCTGGAGATATCCTCATATTTTCTGTATTTTTATTGCATATGGATGGTTTTATTTTAGGTGTGTACTGGTTTTTATTTCTTTTCTTAAAATCCTAATTTTAGGGTAAAGGACGATTATTATGCCAGTTCCCAATTCTAAGCGAGGCATTTCCCCCCCTAATTAATGCAGAGACTCTAAAAGAATTTCCCCCGGCCTGGCCAGCCATTGTAATGCATATACGGATTATTCACGTGGTAATGAGCACATTCGCCAGTTCTTGCTCACACATACGAATAAAAGAAACTTTGAATAAAGATCCAAATGATCTTGCTGGGGGGTGGGGAGGATATTCTCGGAATGTGAGCCAATCAACTATATGGAGTGTATATATTTGAAAAAATAGGGATATACTAGAAATACGTATTGGGTTCAGAGTAACTGCACTGCACTAGGCTCCCTTAAAAAAAATAATAATAAATGAATAAAAAAAGAACTCACAGGATCAGACTAAAAAAAGGAACAACTTTTTGGCAAAATGCTCAGGTTCAAATATTTTGCAAGAGGGAAGTGAGCAATTGTAGGAAGTTGAACTAGTTTTGAGTGATTGTCACTTTCTGCCTAAAACAAGAGAAGTCCCATTTTCCCTCCTATTCCTCCATATCCCCTAACTCCCTGAAAGCCAAATTATTTTGTTCGTAAATATATTCTTCTGATAAACTGCATTTGACGAAAGTGATATCTATTTCATCATCATTTATTTGATTGGATTAAATGATTCCCCAAGATGTGTAGTTTCACGACTAGATTAATATTGAACATACAATATTTTAGTTATAATATGATTTCCAAGAAGGGGATAAACCAATAAACTTGCCCAGAGATGGTTTTCTCTCAGTGCTGAAGTTAGTTGTTGAATGTTCAGTTTCTGCCTTGAGATATTATTCTGTTCACTAAAACCATCCAATTTCCAGTCAAAGGGGTGAATTTAATGTTTTGTTAACCTTATACATGGAATGGAAATGTGTAGAAGGATGAGATTATAGTTTGTTCCCTCTGCAATTTTTTTCTCTCCCCGCACTCCCCGCCCCCACTTTAAATAAAGAGCGTTAAAATATTTTGCTGAGCTGTAGTAGATTAGCAAGGTTTCTTGCCAATGCTGGGAAGCTGGTATTACAGACAGTCCCAGGGGAAAATGGCTCACATTAACCACTAAATGAATATTTGACAAGGGCTCATTCGGAGGTATTATTACTATAAACGTGTCCCTACTGGACTTTTCCAGGGTCAAAGAGCAACGCTTCAATTAATTATTTAGTCTGCTACTAGATTTGGTTGTAATAGCTGTACTTACTTCTAGAACCGACACATTCTTACAGTAGGAAATCTCAGGAGAATCTTCTCCATCAGCTATGCCTTGGATTGAAATACACACAGAGCCCTGGCATTCTAAAGCTGACTTTTTCATAAAACCTTTTCCTGGGCTGAGAGTTGGGGGGGATTATAGTTTCTTTTTCTATCTCATTTGCTGGTTTTGATTTAAAACAAAGAAACAAGAACATAGTAAGTTATCTTAGCTTCTACATCATGCCTGGCAAGGTCTTTTGGGGCCTTGCAGTTTGGGGAGAGAGGGAAGGGGAATTATTTATAACCTTTGCCTTTTCTAAGTGGAGGTGTCACAGGATTTCAGAGACTCAGGCAGGTTCTGAATTTAGAAAGGGCACACACTGCTGTTTGCCAGTAAAATTCGGGTTTTAAAATGGAAGTCTCCATAGGCTGAGTACTCGGAATTCTAGTACACTCAGAGTAAATTGGGGTATGAGATAGTCCCTCCTTCCCTCCCCATCTATTGACTTGAACACTTCCAGGTGTAGTGGGGTGAGGGGGGACCAGGCAAGTATTCCATTTCTGCTCTGTCATAAGTTCCTCCGTGGCCCTGGGTAAAATGGTAAGGGAATGATTTTGAGAGTAAGATTCCTTGACAATAATATAAGGTGAATGAATAAGAGATAAGCTGCAAGGGGTGGAGGGGACGGGATGCAGTAATTACAAACCCAATTCATTCAGCTTTTCAGAACTTTTGTTGTGGGAGCTCCATTGACGGGTTTTGAGTCGCCAGTTTTCTCACATTAAAAAGAACTGATCAGCGCCTTAGGGGAACAAGAAATACCGCTTAACTGCACAGTGATTGGGTCTTCATTTAGAACCCTTACAAGAAGAAAATTAAACAGTCCCTTTGTGTGCACAGGTTTACTTTTCAACTGCTAACAGTTTATAGCTAACTGCTCTGGGATTGAAGTTTGACTGGGGCTTGGTCGCCTGCTAGCTGGCACTGCTTATTTATTTATTTATTTATTTATTTATTTATTGTAACGAAAAGAGTTTTTTATACCCTTCTCCCTTTATTTCTTGCTCTTGGAGAATTTTGCAAAACAGGCCCTCCTATTTTGCTTCATGGAAGGAGTTTCCTTTGCCATGAGCTTTCGCAGAGACTTGAATTAACACTTCTCCAACACTTTCCACCACATCCCTCCCCCCATCACTGCCTTAAAATAATTTGCATCTCACTCCATTTTTTATGCTACTTTTTCTTGCTTTCAGAGTACAGACTGCTTTGGACAGCCACAAGTGAGATTGAGAATGAGGGTTGATTTATTTCTTTCCTTGGCTTTTTTTTTTTTTTTTTTTTTTTTTTGACTGAAGTTGGAAGATGGTTGGCTGGATTTCTTTAGGGACCTCATCTATGAGGTAGATCCCTTACAGACAGAAGAAGGGAGAGAAAGACTTGAGAACTGGACTGTGAAAGTATGGATAAAATCCAAAGGGACACAGCCTCTGGAGTTCTAGAGTAAGCAGCTGTGGAAGGAGCTTTCCAAAAACAGAGAAATTGCCCAAACCAGAGAATTAGTTTCGTGTCTTTCATAGTCATTTTCTATTAAAAAAAACTTCCCAGGAAACCTGCCTCTGATATCACCCAGGGAGACCTGTAACCACTCTACCTTCTCATAATGCTGTCCAGTTTTACAGTTCTTGTTTTCAGTGTTTATGTGTTGCTTCTGTAGCTTTTAGGAAATAATGGACTTGACTTTCTTATTTCAACTATGAGACTTCTCTGGGAGAATGGATTACTAAGACAAGGCCACAATTTCCCATGGCAGAGAGCTCTCTTTCTGCAAGCAGGTCTAAAGGGATTTTATTTTATACTTCGGTGTAATGGTCATATTTCTGATCCCTTGAGTGGTGTATTCAGTTTCTGTTCAAAAGCAAATAAAACGTCCTCTCACTTCAGGACGCAAAGATATTTTCTGCTTCTGGGCTTTTGGACTTGAGATGCTTGCTCTACTTTGCAAAGAAGTGGCAGGTGATTTTAAAGCTTCGAGGAGTCGCTCATTTCATTACCCTCGTCCACCCGCACGCACAGAATGAAGTGTGCGTTGTTAGTAAAGATTTCGGCGCTTTGAACTGCCGTTCGCCTTGCTCCCCGGGCTGCGGTGCGGGGCGCGGCGCGGGGCCTCCCGCCCGGCTGCGCTGGGGAGCCCGCCCGGCCCGCGCCCGAGCTGCTGCGCGGGGCAGATGGAAGCCGAGGCGGGCAGGCGCCGGCCGGGGACCTGACGTCACCGTGGCCCTAGCCGAGGCCCCCACGGGGCTCCCTGCGACGGTGCTGCGCAGCGCTCGAGTTTTCTCCGTCAGGACCCTGCCAGCACGGCCCGGTTTCCTCCCTTAGCCCCGGACGGTCGCGCAAGCCTGCAATGTCTCCCGAGGTGCTGTGGGCCCTCTCGCTTCCCTGGAGCCCTCTGCCTCCTGCACCTCGGCGCTGGCCGGCTCCGCCTTGACCTCGTGACCCCAGGGATGGTTCTAGGCCCCAAACCTCCCAAATCAGAGACTGTTTTCCTCCAGGCCTGCCCTCCACTTGCCTCTCCCCTCCGTCCTTTACTTTTAAAAGGCCGTTTGCCCCTGTTTGGTGCCAAAGCTCATCGTTAGTAATCAACCTCTTAGTACGTCCCGATGCCAGGGGCTGCGCATTGACGTGGCTGTGGGTAACTACAGGGGCGATTTGGGATCCCCAGAGTGATGGGCCCCTCTAGGGTCAGAGAAGGGAGGAATGGAGGATACATTCGTGTTCTATTTATAAAACAGGGATAATACATCTTTACCCGGCAAAAGAGGAATACAAAGCCAATTACACAAAAGGGACTAATTGGTGGCTATTACTGTTCTTACAGTCCAACAGAGTCAGGTGGTAGGGAAGGCAAGAAGTTCCCGTTTTAGACTCTAGAGATCAATCCAATAATTCGGGTCTCCTCTCTGGTCTTGGGAGGTGAAATTAGCCTTCCTCAGAGGACCCTGCTTCCTTTGCCAGTTCTCTTTCTGGCTTAGGGTTAGCCTAGGAAGTTAGCCTGCAAACTTGCCATCCCTGGGCATCTTCCTGAAGGGAGGGAT